AGATCAAACATGACAGGCACCCAGCAAAACAGAATTAATAGAGGACCCAGATAACAACTTAAAAAAGAAAACGAGGATTTGAAGAGATTCAAATGCAGCATTAGGGTGACCAGCTGTCTTGTTTTGCCTGGGGCTGAGGGAGTTCCAGGTACGTGGGGCTTTCGGTGCTAAAACCAGGACATCCTGGGTAAACCGGGATAAGTTGGGCACCCTATACATGCACACCTCTTCCTATATGCACAACCTTTCTGTAACTGGATGCTCTGATTTCAAACTTAAAACTACATTACAGGAATTAAAGGAGAGGATGGCTACAGTTGCAGCCAGAGTTAGTAATCTGGGTGAAGGGGAAGAAATATCTCAAAGCATTAATATCTCAAAACTATAAAAATATGGAACTCATAGGAAAAAATGTAAGAAACTTAGAGGACAGATATAGCCATTAAATTCTTTTCAAATGAGGATGTAACATTGGCTTATCTGGTAGTTAAAGGAGTTGTAAAATTTACATGTTAGCCCTGGCCGGTTTGGCTCAGCAGTTAGAGCGTCGGCCTCTGGTCCAGAGAGACCAGGATTCCGTTCCCGCTAAGGGCATGTACATTGGTTGCAGTTTGTCCCCGGCCCTGATTGGATTGTGCGGGTGGCAGCCACTCGATGTGTCCCTTTCACGTCGATGTTTCTCTTTCTCTCCCTCCCATTCTATCTGAACAACAACAACAACAAAATATCTACATGTTAAATCATCTGATCCTTCCAGTGAAACCATGCTTTCATTTGTGAAGACACATAAACTTCTGTGTTTCAGTGGCAAAAAAAAGATAAAGAAAAAGTATATCAAGTCCCAGTAGGTTCCATGAGAATTACAGTAGCTAATCTACACATTATAGTAGTTTAAATTACTATTCAACAATTATCAATTCCCTCCCCTTTATCTAACATGAATGAGCAGGTTGTACTTCTCTATATCTTGACTTTAAGTTGGCCACGTGACTCACTTTGCCCAATGGACCATTAGTGGATATGTTACAAGAAGAAGCTTGAATCATAACTGCCTAGTGGGCTCACCATCCTGTGTTTCTGCTTTCCGAAGCACCTGATCTGAGTAGGATGAGATACATATCAAGCAAACCTGGACACAACCTGAATCTCAGTCAAGCCCAGCCTAGATTTGTAGATGTGTGAGTGACCAATAAATGCTTATTGTTTAATGCTAACGAGATTTTTGTGGTAGTTTGTTACATAGCATTATTGTGCCCATAGCTGATATATATACTTAGTGTATATACCTTGGTCAAATTCTAAATCTCAAGAATAAAAAATAAATCTTAAGTTTCCAATCAGAAAGAATAAGTTATCTACAAATAAAAAGTAAGATGAATATTGGATTTCTCTCATACAACACTGGAAGTCCTAGAAGCTAGAAGATGTTGAAATAACATCTAGAGATACTGAAAGTAAAGGATTGCAACCCAAGAATCTCATACCCGGCTAGTATTTCATCCATCCATCAGGGTAAAAAAACCATTTAAATTTTTTAATAATTAAAAAATTTTAAAAACCACATGACCTATTTGACAAAAATATTCAAGAAATCATTCTCACCAAACAACAAATGAATAAAAACAGGTCTCAAGTACTACAGTTTAAATTAAATGGATAATGATTGTATTTCTAATTTTTTTTTCTTTATTGATTTGAGAGAGAGAGGAAGGGAGAGGGAGAGAGAGATAGAAACATCGATGAGAGAGAACATTGATTGGCCGCCTCCTGCATGCCCCCCACTGGGGATTTGGCTCACAACCTGGGCATGTGCCCTGACCGGGAATCAAACCAGTGACCTCCTGGTGCATGGGTTGATGCTCAACCACTGAGCCATACCAGCCGGGCTGATTGTATTTCTAAAAATAAGTAACATGTAGTTTAACCTAAATCAATCATAATGAATGTCTTGGAATATGTAATATGAGCACTAGATAAGGATTCTTAAAATAAAAATAGGTTGCTGCAAAGGTAATTTTCTACCTCTTATTGTTTTACATTTGGTCCACAGGCCAGTGCTCTAACCAGTGAGCCAAACTGACCAGGGCATACTAAACTATTTCAGAAAAACCTGGGTGTTGGATAGAAGTAGAGTAGGGAAAGAGCATTTGAAATTTCTGAACTAGGACAAGAAGAAGGAAGAGAAACTGAAATAGTCTAACAATCTCATCTTATTGGGGTAGAGGATGCAAACAGAAATATACTGTCTTGGTATGAAAATAGTTGAGGAGGCTTGTTTTCAAATAATGGTAACAAAATATACAATTGATTAAGAATACCAGAGAAGCCCTGGCTGGGTGATTCAGTTGGTTGGAGCATCATCCCATACACCAAAAGGTTGTTGAGTTCGATTTCCAGTCAGGATACATACCTAGGTTGCAGGTTTGATCCCCAGTAGGGGCACATATGGGAGGCAACTGATGGATGTTTCTCTCTCACATCAATGTTTGTCTCTCTCTCTCTCCTCTCTCTAAAAAATAAACAAACAAACAAACAAAACCCAAAAACAATAAACATATCCTCAGGTGATGATTAGAAAAAATTAAGAATACCAGAGAAAAGTAAGTTGCCATTAAAAGGATGGTAAAGTAAAAAGGAATGTCCAAAATAGCAAGGGCAAAAAATAGAATGAAGAGCAACTTAATAAGGAAAAGGTAAAAGAAGAACTATTAAAATAAAATGATACAGCATAAATACAATATGGAAAGAATAAAATCAAGTATAGTCACGCACAGTATAATGATATTTCTGTCAACGACAAAATGGACCATATATACAACAATGGTCCCATAAGATTATACTGTGTAGCCTAGGTGTGTAGTAGGCCACCCCAGCTGGGCTTGTGTAAGTGCACTCCATGAAGTTCCCACAATGACACAATCACATAACAATGCATTTCTCAGACTGTATCCCCTTCGTTAAGTGACGCGTGACCTGAATATCAGTCATTTCAGGACATGGGAATGGACCTAATTCTATCAAAAAATCGAAAATGTCAGAATGAGTTTAAAAACAAACCCAACCCAGCTATAAAATAATTTATAAGAAATAAAGAGGGACCTCGGGAGTATTATGCTAAGCAAAATAAGCCTATCAGAGAAAAGACAAATACCATGTGATCTCACTTATTTTTGGAATATAATGAACAAGGTGGGTTGGTGAACGAAACAAACCCAGAGACATAGAAAGGAGTATGGTTCAAACTGACAGACCTCAGAGGAGGGAGGCGAGGGGAGGATGAGATAAACCACAGAACTTACATGCATGTATGCATAACCAATGGACAGAGACAACAATGCTGGGGGGGATGGGATAGGGAGGAGGGTGTCTAGGGGGGGAAAGGAGAAACATCTGTAACAAAACAGCATAAAAATAAACAGAAATGGCGATATTGTCATCAGGAAAGGAAGAATTGACGGTGAAAGAACCTACAAGAGACTGCAGAGGGACACTGTGGGACAAGAGAAAGCACAGTTTAAGAAGTGTCAAAAACGTGTATGTCTCCATCAACATAGCAGCTAAATATAAAAAGGAGAAAGCCTAGGATTGAGTCTTCTTTTTTTTAATCCTCACCCGAGGACATTTTTCCATTTTTTGTTCAGATAGAGTGGGAGGGAGAGAGAGGAAGAGAGAGAGAGAGAGAGAGAGAGAGAGAGAGAGAGAAACATCGGCGTGAAAGGGACACATCGAGTGGCTGCCCCCCACACGACCAACCAGGCACCCACACGACCAACCAGGGCCGGGGACAAACTGCAACCGAGGTACATGCCCTTAGCGGGAACCAAACCCGGGTCTCTCTGGACCGCAGGCTGACGCTCTAACCGCTGAGCCAAACCGGCCAGGGCGAGGATTGAGTCTTGAACGATGCCAACATTTAGGGGTTGGGGAAGAGGACGAGCTGGAACCGGTGGCTGAAAAGTGGCCAAAGAAGTAGAGAAAGAGCAGGAAGGTGGATGAGAGTAATTTCTAGAGGTCTCAATCAATATACAAGTAAAGGTGACTCCAGTAACAGTGATCAGACAGACTCTCCACCCAGGGCCAGAGAAGACAGGACCTGAGTGACAACATTCCTTTCCCTGCAGGCAGAACGGCCTTTTCACACAGCCTTCCTTTCTCCTCCTGCGTCTGCAGTCCGTAAAAGATTGTGGTTGCAATGCACAGCGCAGAAGTAGGTGCTTTTATCTAAATACGAGTTTTGTAGGCTTGGAGTATTGTTAAGAAAGGAGCGGCTACCCGATATATGGGGCACATTGTGGAACACACCAGTATGTGGGGGCGGGGAGGGGAGAGGGTGCCCATTATTTCCCATTAAAAGATCCATTTAACTTCCTGAGACTTGAAACGTCAGTCCATGTTAAGACAATTTAATATTTCTGACCCACTGAAAATCCCCTTTTCTCTTCTATTTACTAATCGGGAATCTTCACTTATTATCAAATGATAGCAATAATTTTAGGGAATTTTTCTAATATCTATAGGAAATACAACTGTTTAATATTGGCAAAGGCATGTCCAACTCCATTTCCATGCCATAAGCTGTACAGAGGTTGAATTTTTCAGTCATGGTGATCTGTGGCAATTAGCATATATATATATTTTTAAATCATCAGATAGAGTTGGGGGGAAGGGAGAGAAAAACATCGACGTGATAGCGCCACATCGACTGGTTGTCTCCCAAATGACCCGACCAGGCTCGGGGACGAACCGCAACGGAGGTATGTGCCCTTGACCAGAATCGAACCCGTGACTCATTGGTCCTCGGGCTGCTGTTCTAACTGCTAAGCCAAACCGGCCATGGCTCAATTAGCATATTTTCAAAACAACATTCTTGCTGTGCATATTGACTACCCCTCTCAACATACGCACGTACTCTCTTTTTTTCTGGCACAGGTACTAAATTGCAAAAGAAAATAATGCACTGCACAAAATACAGATATGACCAGGATGCCACTTACCTTGAATTTCTATCTCTTTCAAGTCTTCAAGGTGTTGCTGGCATTTTCAGTGTATAGGGAATTGGGGTAATGAGGATAAAATGTAGCTGACGAGATTTGAACAGGAGGAGGGAAGTAAAAGGTCTGTTGATGTCCCAGATACCTCTTGCCCTGGTGGGGGAATTGAGGAGATGTTATCACAGGTTCTGGCAACTAGAAGATAAATAAGTCTTGGAGACCTCATACAGAGCATAGTGATTCTAGTCAACATTACTGTATTATAGACCTCAAAACTGCTAAGAGACTAGATCTTAAATGTTCTTACCACACACACACAAATGGAGGTGTTGGCTAACACTATGGAGGCAATCATATTGCAACATTTATAAATGTATCAAATCAGTGCCTACACCTTAAAATGACACATTATATGTCCATTTTTATTTTTATTTATTTTTTATCCTCACCCGAGGACATTTTTCCATTTTTGTTCAGATAGAGTGGGAGGGAGAGAGAGGGAGAGAGAGAGAGAAACATCGACGTGAAAGGGACACATCGAGTGGCTGCCACCCGCATGACCAACCAGGGCCGGGGACAAACTGCAATCAAGGTACGTGCCCCTAGCGAGAACCGAACCCGGGTCTCTCTGGACCGCAGGCCAACACTCTAACTGCTGAGCCAAACCGGCCAGGGCTATATATATGTTCATTTTAAAAATAAATTTCGAAACTCTTGCACTGAATAGAATATTTGAAAATGGCTAACAGCATTCATTCGGAATTTACCTTAGGGGGGAAAAAAAAAAAAACAAATTCTACAGCCGTGCTATACACAAAGGGTGGTCACCCAAACAGCAGCATTGGCAGGCCTTGGCCACCTATTACAAATGCAGGTTCTCAGGCCCCATCCCAAACCTACTGAATCAGAATCTGCATTTGACCAAGATCCCCAATAAGTTTGCCCAACACTATTATAGAAAATCTCCTGGTGAGCAGAGTCCCCGGCTATTTACATTTAAAATCAAATTCCTTAAACAAAATTTCAAATTCACTCACACTAGCCACATTTCAGTGCTCAAGAGCCACATGTGACTAGTGGCCAGACTATTGGACAGTGCAGGTATAACATGTCCATCATTGCAGGAAGTTCTGTTGGATAGCACTGGTCTCATTAACTTTTTTTTTTTTTATCCAAACCTGGGACTCTCTGGTCTGTGGCTGACGCTCTAACTGCTGAGTCAAACCGGCCCGGGCTCATTACCTATTAATCTTGGCTACTCATTAGAATCACTGGCCACAGTTTGTTTGTTTTTAACAGGAAAAAAGTCCAAGTTTAATTCATGCTCATGAGAAATTCATATAGGCATGAAAATTCCCAAGATAGTGAGGCATATAAGACATTTTGGACAAAGGAGAAAGGGGGGAACAGGGTCTTAGATTTCGGAAGTGAGAATGGGTGATTGACAGGTAGTTGAGAAAGAGCAGAACACACATGGCAGGAAAATCTTTCCTAGGAGACTCAGAAACAGTGGGACAGGGAGGTGGGGGCGGGGGGTATCTAGCTAACAGGACCCTGCTTGAAGCCCTCTTATTTAGTTTTAAATTTTAATACAGAATGTTTGTTTCAGGCCTCATCCAACAGGCATTGTATCTTCTTTATTTTTTTAAATCCTCACCCAAGGATATTTTTCCATTCATCTCCAGATAGAGTGGAAGGGGGTGGGGAGGTAGAGAGACAGAGACAGAGAAACATCGATGTGAGAGAGACATCGATTGGTTGCCTCCCGCACGACCCCGACCAGAGCCTGGGACAAACTGCAACCAAGGTATGTGCCCCTGACAGGAAATGAACCCGCGACTCTTTGGTCTGCAGGCCAACACTAACCGCTGAGCCTAACCAGCCAGGGCCAGGCATTGTATCTTCACAGGAACTTGACCTAGCATTTGCTAGTAAGATGACCATTAGGAAAACCAAATTCTTGATCCCATTAAAACCTCTCACATCTTTTGTGCTCTGATAATCACATGAGATATTGTCATTTAAGTTTGTTGAACTCCTGGCTATGGTGATACTTTCTTCACTTTTCCTTTTATTAATTGAAAAGATTACATTAAAACACTAAGAAAAGCTTTAAAAAAAATTTATACAACTGTTATGCTATTTCTCTGACATAGTCATTTTTGTTCAGGGTCTTTACCCCTCTAGTCCTTGCATATTTGCATATTTTCACAGGTCACCCCAGCCTGGCAGTTTACAACAATTACAAAACCAGATCTCTCTGTCAGCCCCCAACCTACAGACTATACAGAGATATCATCTCCAAATGCCTGCCTTCTGACTCCTTGGGAGGAGGGCGGGATTCTGGTTTGTCCCACATATATTGTTACACAAACGTAATGCACTTCCTTCAGCCTTTGCTCCTACAAAGACAGTAGTGCCTAAGGGACCCAGGTTGCTATAGTGATGTCCTTGGCTGTTTATGACTCAGGCATGACTCTAAGAATCTTCAAGAGTCACCCAACGAGGTTACATTCATAGAGTGGCTCTTCATGGAGATGTGTATGGTGGGGCATTTTTATTTGCTATATCTCCTTGTTCCACAAGGACCCCTGGAAGATCTACTTGACATTCTACTACAGTAGTCCTCCCTTATCTTCAGGAAATACTTTCTGAGACCTCCAGTGGATGCCTGAAACCACTGATAGCACCGAACCCTCTATAGTCTTATGGTTTTTTTTTTTTTATACATACATATCTTTTTACTTAAAAGAAATACTTGCTCTGGCCAGTTTGGCTCAGCGGTTGAGCGTCGGCCTGCAGACCAGAGAGTCCTGGGTTCAGTTCCTGCTAGGGGCACGTACCACACACACAAAAAAGAAGCACTTTATGGCTTCTATTGGCATGTCGGAATTGCCAGCATCATTGCTCTGGCACTTTGGGACCATTATTATGTAAAATAGGGATGACTTAAACACAAGCACGAAGATATGACTAAGATACAGCGACAGTAGATCTCATAACTAAGAAGCTACTAAGTGGCTGATGAGCATCTACATTGTGGAGATTTGGGACAAAGGAATGAGCTGGACGGTGTGAGATGTCGTCATGCTACTCAGAAGAGTGCACAATTTAAATTATGAATTGTTTGTTTCTAGAATTTTCCATTTAGTTTTTTTGGACTGTGGTTGACTGTGGGTAACTGAAACCTTGGAAAGCCAAACCACAGATAAGAGGGACTACTGGCCCAACCAGTGTGGCTCAGTGGTTGGGCGTCGACCCATGCACCAAGAGGTCACTGGTTCGATTCCTGGTCAGGGCACATGCCCAGGTTGTGGGCCCGATCCCCAGTGGAGGGCATGCAGGAGGTGGCCAGTTGATGTTGTCTCTCATTGATGTTTCTATCTCTCCCTCTTTCTTCCTCTCTCTCTAAAAAAAATAAAGAAAAAAAAATAGAAATACAATCATTATCCATTTAATTTAAATGGGGAATACTGTACATACATGGAAACATCTTCCCTCTGATCAACCATTCCCTAACCCAATATGTCCATGTGGACTCTCCGTCTTTTGGGGACTAGTAAGGAGTGGCTCGTATTCTCAATGGGGCTCCGTCCTAGAAGTGGGAGAGAGCTGGTGGCCCTGCATGGCTGGTCATTGTCCTTACCAGGCTAGGACTAGGATGAGGCCAGTGAGGTGCTCCCTCTCGGAGTCCTGCAAGTGCAAAGTGGAACCTCCACTTCAAATTTTGATACTGTGTTCATCATGGATTTCTTTGGCCTTCATTCTGATTTTTTAAGATATTTTAAATCTTGATTACTGAAGCTCTTTTGTTTGTTTGGCACTCACTCACCTCACCGTATTCCCAAGCCCGGGTCCTTTCCATCAGGTTCCTTTATCTCTCATTCAAATAGAGCCTACTTAGCTCATGCCACCAACTCCTAACCCAGAGAGTACTATGCTCAGTCAGAGAAAGACAAATACCACATGCTCTCACTTATGTATGGAATCGAGTGATGAACAAGATACAGAGGCATGGATACAAGGAACTGACTGACAGCTGTCAGAGGGGAGGGGGCTGGATGAAAGAAGATGAAGGGATTAATATATATAATATAATATATATATCATCTCACACAGATACAGACAACACTGTGGTGATAGCCAGAGGAAAAAGGGGTGAGGTAGATGGAGGTTGGCAAAGGCGGGGGGATAGGGATGGAAAGAAACTTTGCTTGGGGTGATGGGCGCACCATGCAGTGTGCAGAAGGTGCTTTATTGAGTTGTACACTTGAGAACTGTATGATTTGGGGAACCAATGTCACCCTAATAAGTTCAATTAAAAAAGTCATACCTAGTATAAAGTCCTCCCAGTACCCAGTTTAGGCCCCAAGCTACACATAGATGGTGTTACCTAGATGTAATCATGCTGCTCAGCTTTTTTTGTAGTATATTTACTTTTCTTTCATACACAATCTTCCTTGTTTCTAGGTTTCCTGAATTGCTTCTTTTAACAAGCTGCAAGATAGTCCACTAGGCTCATGCACTATACTTAACTGTTCTCCTATTATTGGATATTCAGGTTACTTTCCATTTCTCATTCACAATGAGTCTTTAGATGTGCAAATGAGCTGAGTGTCTCAATAGAGGCTTGAATGAGATCAATTGCTCTGTCTAATAAAGTAGGAAGCTTTTTTTTTCTTTATTGATTTTAGAGAGAGGAAGGGAAAGGGAGAGAGAGATAGAAACATTGACGAGAGAGAACATCGATTGGCCGCCTCCTGCATGCCCCCCACTGGGGATCGGGCCCACAACCTGGGCATGTGCCCTGACCGGGAATCGAATCAGCGACCTCTTGGTGCAGGGGTCAACACTCAACCACTGAACCACACCAGCTGGGCAAAGTAGGAAGGTTTTTTTATGTTGTTTTGGAGTTTGAGGGTTTGGGGCTTTTTTTTTTTTTTTTTTTTTTTTTTTTTGGTGGTTGTCTGTTTTCTGGCTACAGGGGAGAGTTAAGCAACTTGTTGGGAACCTGGAGCCCAAGTTGGAAGAAATAGAGGAGGAACGTTTTCAAAAGAGAGATGTGTGATTTTGAATTTAAGGTATCAGCTACCTGGAGTGACAGTAAAGACCCCTACTCTTACTGCCACGTCTTCAGTAACCATCTACCACAG